GTATGGAAACCAATTTGACAATAAATTTCATATAAAAAAAAATGCTATTCAGTTTGACTACTTTTTTTTTGTGTAATTATTCCTGTTACAAAAGATTGTTCCGTTTGCCTTTCAGGTTTATTTTATTTTGACCAGTTGATACTTAAGGAGGTATTTGTGGCTTGCCTTGGGAACCAAATGACCATATTTAACATGATTTCAGTGGCAGAACTTGTTGAATTAAAAATTTTAGTCGAGGGGCACCTGGCTGGCTCAGTTAGTAGAGCATGTGAGTCTTGGTCTCAGGGTCATGAGTTCAAGCCCCATGTTGGACATGGAGCCTACATTAAAAAAAAAACTTAGTCGATAATTTTGGCATACAATCTGAGTTGTTTTGTGGCTGGGGCATGTGACTAGGCAATGTGTTTGTTGGTAATTTTCATTACCATTTTCATTTCATTACTAGGGCCACCTGGGGGTGCATAAAGCAGGTAAGGTCATCTTTCTTTCCCTATATATAAATAAAAAGAGGAAGGCGGAGGAAGAATAAATTGGATACATAATGTATGTGCGATGTCTGAAATGCTTTTTATAACTACTTTTTTAGTTAAAAACAAGCCTTTGGAGAAAGGAAATACAAGCTTCTTTTTTTTCTTTTATGTTTTAAAGATAAAGTTGAAGCACTCAAAAATCAGCTTAGAGGTATAAATTGTAAAATTTGTCATGTGTTATTTTTGATAATAAAGGAAGATGTGGATTCCTTCATGAAACAGCCTGGGAATGAGACTGCAGATATAGTACTGAAGAAGCTGGATGAACAGTACCAGAAGTATAAGTTTATGGAGCTCAATCTTGCTCAAAAGAAAAGGAGGTAAGTGTAAAAATTTACATGAGGTTTTTTTTTTCTTTTTGGTTAATCTTGTATGGCTTAAACTTTTTAAGAATTAAGGCATAATTTACATATAATGAAATGTCCAGGGGTGCCTGGATGGCTCAGTCAGTTAAGCATCTGACTCTTGATTTCAGCTCAGGTCATGATCTTAGGTTGTGAGATCGAGCCCCACTCGGGCTCCGCACTGGGTGTGGAGCCTGCTCAAGATTTTCTCTTTCTCCCTCTACTGCTCACATGCGCGCGTGCTCTCTCTCTCTCTCTCTCTCAAAAAAAAAACGTCAGATCTTGAATTTTAGTTTGATGAATTTTCACAGATGGATCCACTTCTGTAACCATTGCCCAGATCAATATGTAGAACATTCCTATCACTGTAGGAAGTTCCCTCCTGCCCCTTTCTGGCCAGTCCTGCCCACTCCCAGAGCTGACCACTGTTCTGATTGTTTTCACCATAAATTTGTTTTGTCTGTTTGTGAACTTCATATAAACGAAAGCATGTAGTAACTACTATTTTATGTCAGGATTTTTACACTTCGTATAATGCTTTTAAGAGTCATCCATGGTTTTGTGTCAGTGGGTTAATTTCTTTTTACTGCTGAATCTTGTTCCATTGTATGTATGTACCACAATTTTTATCTATTTTTTTTCTATGTGATGTGCTATTTATTTTTTAATTTATATCCAAGTTAGTATATAGTGCAACAGTGATTTCAAGAGTAGATTCCTTAATGTCCC